ACTGGTTGCCAGCCGGTTGAATATGAGCCAGCAGTGTGCTCAGGTGGCCCGGAAGGCCAATGACATCCTGGCTTGTATCAGGCTGAGGGAGCTGGGGTTGTTTAGCCTGGAGAAGAGGAGACTCACGGGGGACCTTCTCACTCTCCACAACTACCTGAAGGGAGGTTGGAGTCAGGTGGGGTTGGGCTCTTCTCCCAGGCAACCAGCAACAAGACAAGAGGGCATGGCCTGAAGCTGCCCCAGGGGAGGTTTAGGTTGGATATTAGGAAGCACTTCCTCATGGAGAGGGTCATTAGACATTGGAATGGACTTCCCAGGGAAGTGGTGGAGGCACCATTCCTGGATGTGTTCAAGGAAAGGCTGGATGTGGCACTTAGTGCCATGGTCAAGCCAATGTGTTGGTGTTAAGGCTGGACTTGATCTTAAACATCTTTTCCAGCCTTGGTGATTCTGTGATTCTGTGTCCCTGCAGGGGGGTTGGAGCTAGATGATCTTTAAGGTCCCTTTCAACTTAAACCCAAACCACCTTATGTTTCTGATTCCACTTAGATATTTGAGCACATTACATCAAATATGTGATTACATGAAGGCTCAACAACTTCTAAAGATGCAATGACATTTATGGATAACCTTAAGCCTATCAACATTTAGTTTGTGATATACTCATAATCTCTATTTACCAGCAAGTGTAACTCTTACAATCACAGTATCACAGAATAGTCATGGTTGGAAAGGACCTCTGACATCACTGAGTCCAACCATTGAAACAAAATCAAAACAAACAAACAAACAATCCCCCACAAACACATAACCTACAACCTCGGCCACTAGAGCATGCCCTGAAGTTCCTCATCTACGCATTTCTTGAATACATCCAAGGATGGTGACTCAACCACCTCCCTGGGCAGCCTGTTCCAGTGCCTGACCACTCTCTTTCAGTAAAGAGTACAGGAGTGATGATCACTTCCCTACTCCTGTTGGCCATGCTATTCCTGATGCAGGCCAGGATGCTGTTGGCCTTCTTGGCCACCTGGGCACATAATGTTGTGACCAATTGTATTGTTAGGATTACATTTTTTAGAAAAAGCTTTTAAGGCTATTTAAAACTGTCATTGGGATTAACAAGACTTACAGAGAGAGAAAGAGAGAGAAAACTATGCCAAAGCACTTACCAAACTGACTAAGGACTGAGGACTGAGCAATGGGCAGATTTAGATCCCAGGATGATGTAGTAGTTGTGGTAGTGGTGGTAGAGCTACTATTGTTTTGTTGAGAAGTAAACTGACCCAAACCTGGAGATTTCAATTGGTCCAAGATTTGGGATCCAGTAGAGTTTTCCAATTTAGAGGATCCAAGTTCTCCAAAGCCAGAACAAAGAGCCGCAGACTACCAAAAGACAAAAGAGAAGAGGGGAAGGAGTGAAGTATTTAATGAATAATTTGAACATAACCATAGGGTCAATGCCTACAGCTGTTATTTGGCAGCAACCAAAACCTCTTCAGTCCTAGATTACTAAGAAATGACCAATAAAAATTCAGCAGTTGTAGCATATGGCCAGATCCTCTCTGGTTATCACCGATGAAACTTCCACCACTGATTACAACAACACTGATTTACTTGAATCCATGCATCTCAAAATAGCATGTATTTACTAAAAGTTGAACTGATTTTCAGATAATAAATAGAAGTGCCTAATTTCAAGCCCTCAAAATTGACTCAGAAATAATCAGGTTTCCTCAAGAAGCAGTCAGATATGTTCTTGGAAATAACAAAACTTAGTTTTCTGGCATAGAACTCTTCACTATAAACAAATTATTTCATTCTAAATCAGCATGCAGTAAACACATCTGCTCTCTACTAAAAAATTAATACAAGTATTTCATGTAAACCAAGAAACAACTACATAGTAAAACCCCCCAAAAAAGTAATCCTTTTTTTGTGCGTGTGTGTGTATGAACATTTCCAATCTGAATTTTACAAATACTGAAACATCTAATGAAATGACTAGTACTGGAAAACTTGTTTAACCTGAAATATTCACTCATTAAGAATATTTTTAAGGTATAAGATAATTTTACCAGACTTTGAGGAGAATAAGAGCTTGCAGCACTGGAGCTGCCAGTTCCTGATGCCATCTGGGTGCTGTGCTGAGAATTTGTGAAGACTAGGGCTTGGCCAAAGGTCTGCTGCTGAGGAGCCTCAAATGAGTTACCTTCTGTCTCTTGGGTAGAAGTCACAGGCTTTTGAAGCAGTGTTACCAAATCAATGCTGTAAGAAAAAGCAAAGTTTGGCTGGAATAAACATGATGCATTGAAACTGAAGGAAGCATTAACAATACTAATGCTGCCATACTGGCAACAGAATTATTACTGATGAACAGTCTTTTCAAATATTGCTTGTTGGCCATATAAAGAGGTAGAATAGAGGTTTTTGCTAGAAAGTAATATTCTGCTAGCTGAAACCTTCCACTACAGTTAGAATATAAATGATCTTTGCACTCTTTTCAAACATTATCGAATTTATAACATCATGTATCACATAAGTAACCTATATGATTAATATAAACCAAGTAACTAGAGACAAGTCATAAAAGATACACAACGTTTGAGTGGATCCTGCCTGCAAGCTCATTATATCTATTGATAATCCACATTCTCTGTATATCACACTATCCCTTTAAAAAGAACAAGGGATCAAAGTCCTACCTCTGTATAGGGTGGGTATGAGGGTAGTAAAGAATAAAGTCACACATGCAGCAATTGAGTGAATATGTGATGACATGGAAGTCAGAAGTAGCAGAAATAAGAGCTAAGTTTCTCAGATAGGAGGCACATATCCAAAATTACTCTACCACATATACCTGAACAAGATGAAAAACATGAATTTTCTTATATTTAGCATGGATTACTAACCCCTACCACATGTTTAGCACAGGTTTATCCAAGGACATTCAGACAATAAATCTACTCAAAAAATTTGGACTTAAGTTTATCCTAAATATACCACAGGATTGGGTTGAATTTCTGCTTCCAGTACTTTCATTAGCATAGATTTCTTAATGCTCAAACTTTTTTTTATGGCAAGTAAAAATAACTCCACCCAAATAACCCCGCAAAAAAACAAACCACCAGAATTTGAGTCAAAAAACTAAAATATTTACTAACATAATTTGAGGGACATCCACTGGAAGAATATTTGCATTAGAACAATGAACATATAAGCATATCACCTTTAAGAAGGAAAGGAATATAAACTGTAGACCAACTGTCAATTCCTCCTCCAGGTCACAACCATGTTATATGAAAAATTTTGCTGCAGTCTGGAGTACAGCAGTATCTGGATGTTTGGGACCATTAGGCCATCTAGTTTTTTAATCTCATGCTATCCAACTACCAAAGTCTTGAATCACACAACTTTAACCTGATCTCCCAGGACCTGAGGCTAATGCAGGCAACTGATTCCACATCATCATTGGCCAGGCATTTGGTGAAGACAAAGGCAAGCAAAGGAAGGCAGCAACTGCCGTATTTTTGGTTCTCTATCTTAACTCTAGATCATCAGTTAAGGCAAGTAATTGTGATGCTTACTGGGAAATTCACCTTGCCAACGCAAGCTTTTCTGTTAACATATTTGTCAAAGCACTAAGTTCTGAACGCTTTCTGCATCTACAGGTGCAGGCTTTCCATTTTATGGACAGCAAAACCAGTGTTTCCTTTTCACCACAGCAAAATTTTCTTCCCATACTTCCCAAACCTTTCCTATCACAGGAACTTCTGTTCCTATCTGTAAGTAGTCTTTGTGCAGAAGACAAGGTCTCAGTATTATGAATGTGGATTTAGTAAGTTTGGTTCCACTTCCATAGCCAATAATCAGCAACACACGAACCCACAAAACCAACAAATTGCAAGCAAGGCTCTGACCAGAGCCTTGTGTTTTATTTAACATGTTATATGTGCAAGCTAAAGTTGCTTCACCAAGCAGGTTTTTACGGTATAGGGAAACCATGTGTGGGGAACGGTCCACCTTTTCTCCCCCCACACAAGACTAAACAAAATGCCTTTCAAGCCAGCAAAGCAAGAGCGGCGCCTTTTTGCTGATTCAGCCAAGGACGGAATGAACAGGCCTCTTGCTCTACCAGGTAAGGCCACAGCAAGAAAACACCACAAGGGTTATGATAACTGGCAGAAAAATAGACAATAGGTTAAAAGCTGCCTCTGACAGAGTATGGACCTGGCCAGTGCTAACTGGCTAATTTGAACAGTAATACCTAATTTGAACTGTGATCTAAAAAAAAGAGGGCAAGTTTTGCAGGCTGCTACACTCTGCCTGGAACCAGTACCGGAAGCCGCCGCCTGCCTGTCTGCCCGCCGGGACGCTGCTGGGAAGCTGGCCACCCCACGAACCTGCTGCCGAGCCCTGCCAGTCAGAAAAGAAGCCATATCGCAGGAGGCGCGTGCCGCAGGAGGGTAAACAAAGCCACATACACACACACCCTCTCCCTTAAATTCCCTGTCAGACTCAACTCCTACCCTTTTACTCCATTGATTCCACACCTCTCCCTCAGAGCGTACATTTAATAAGGGCATAGTATTTCTCTGACATATCCCTAGCCTACCTCTCCTGTCCCTCCGTTTGTGTTAACCCTTAATAAACCGGTTAATCTGTAAAGTAAACATGGGTCTCAGTAACAGTTTGTGGGCGTGGTGAGGGTGGTATTTCTAGTCTCTGCTCTAAGATTCGGTCCAGCAGCGATTGATCCTCTGTGTGCGGCGAGTGCCGCGTGTGCCCTCGGTCCCTTTAAAAAGCCCTCTCTATAAGAGAGGAACGGAGGAACGTCACGGAAGCATCCTGGCCTCCAGCAGTCCGTTACTAACACCATCGGACTGTGACACTGTGGAAGAATAGCTTACCTTTGCCCAGGAGTCACACGATTCTCAGCTGGAACAGAGGAAGCAATGAAGACTTTTGTTTCAGAAAGCTGAAAAATAGAGTATGGGGGGAGGATATTTTAATCATACACGTTCACACTGTGCTGCAAAATCTGCAAAAATTCCATCTTGGTCATGTACTTTCAGATAAAAGTAAAATCAAAATACCATTACATCCAGTTATGCTGCAGCTCTGCTTAAAAAGACAAAAAATGTAGTCAAACTACAGCAAAGTCTTCTCCACAGAATCAAGTACCAATTTAATTAAAGTGTTAGGAAATTTGTTCTGCTTATTTTATTTTTATTTTTAATTTCCCACACATTTTATTCAGGAGTGATTTAATTTTACTTCCAAATCATTGATAAAGACACTAGATGGCATCTGGCCTGGGACTGGACTCCTTAGCCCTCTTAGAAATGCCCACACTCAGTAAAGGTCCTCTTGCAAAAGATTTACTGGCAGAAATTTGCAAGGAAGATTTTAATCCACTTAATGTATTTTGTGATAGAATGTAATTATTTTTAGAACAAAATATGTAAATCAAATCTCTTACAAGGACATACTCTGTCTTTATCTTGACTGGACAAGGGGTAATGGTTTCAAGTTAATTTGTAATTTACTTAAAGACCAAGATCAGGATTATTTGAAGTGGACCTATTTTCCATAAAACTACACTGAATAGCACAACCTGTATTCTTAAGCATCTTTTTTTTTTTTTTAATCAGATTAATCCATTTTTCCTTTATTTTTTCCCCAGGATTATTTTGGGCTAATTTGTCTGCAGCTCACCATTTCATTCACTCTTTCTGAACATCAGCACATGAACAACTTTCTCCTAGGTTACAGGGATTTTTCTAGCACTCTAAAATTAATAAAATTTAACAACAGGCTAGAGGTTTTATCTGCTGCTCTTTCAAGACTCATGTGCAAATTATTCAGGTTTAATAATAATTTTTTTAAAAAAAATCTATCCCTAGTCAGCATTGCTCAACATCCCTCCATATTACAAATTCTGTATTATACCAGCATCAAATAGGGGTGATAACAAGGCCATAAATTTTCACTGTCCTTAGCCTTTAAGTCCACCTCTAGCATATACTTCAGAAATAGAGGACAGGTTTAAAAAAGATGCCAGCTTTTGATGACAGTAACTGATACAGAAAACCTAGGAATTTTAGACTTTCTTTTAATTTTCTCAAAAGACATAGGCCTTTCAGTAAGGAAAGTTTTCATATCTGTTATTTGACACATTCACACATTTCTAGGGACAACACTGACATGCTACCCTACAGAAGGAAGCAAAAGGGATGACTTCTGAGACAATACCTTACTCTTCTGAAAACAAACATGAAATAATGGATGTTCCTATAAAAGATGAAAAACTTCTTAAAAGTTGTTTTCCTTTCCATATTTCTTGCTACCTAGTTTGTTTTCTGAACTGCTTAAGCTTTAATACTATAACTGAAAACTTAAAATCACAAATGCAATTTTCACACATGATGATCACAAATGCCAAATATTTTGCAGACATGAAGATATCTGTTGCCTGATAAAGCATGAGAACCAAAATTTTTTTAGTACTTCAGACAACACATCATGATGAAACAACAGGAATGAAGCAATTAAGTGTTAACTTCAGCATACTAATAGTTCCTTTTTAAAATATTATGAACATAAAGTAAACAAAGTGGAACAATTATGCAGATTTCAAACAAAAAGCATCAAATGAGAAATCTAAAGTTGATAGTAAGCTTCAGAACTTAATTACATAAAGATCTTGTGATAATATGGCATTAAAACCCTACACAGTAGAAGGGGGAAGTATGAGGTTAACACCCATCAGCATTGAGCAGTGGAGAAATACAATTCACAAATACTTATTATGGGATAAAACTTAAAACTATATTATCTATGTATTGTCCACTCAGCAAAATAAATATTTCCTGATTCAATTTTATTTAAAAATAAGCTTATCTAAATATATATATTTTAAACAGGAATTACAGCAAGAAACACAGTAAGAAATATCATTGCATGCATACAGCAAAGTATTACTTCAAACATTGAGTTTTTGAAGAAGACACAGAAACTCTGAAAAGGGTAATCAGTCTATCCAACAAGGTACACTTACATCTTCATTCCAGTCTTCTGCTGTCCATTCTTCTATTGAGTTTTTCCATGCTCCTATTATAATTTGGGGAAGGAAAAAAAAACAACAAACAGTTACAAGCTAAAAGCACAATGTTGCATTTCAGCCCTTCTACTTTATAAGCAATCCTGTTTTCATTATTAGTGGAACAAAAAGTGAGGAGATGGTGGTTGAAGACATGGGAAGCTCTAGAAAATTGTTCTGCAGATTTAAAATTTTAGGAGAGCTGTTTTTTCCCGCTTTAATTTCTGACACGGAGCTGTCAGGGTGAATCCAGAGGAAGCTACAAAGGTGATCCAAGGGCTAGAGCAGCTCTGCTCTGGAGACAGGCTGGGAGAGTTGGGGTGTTCAGCCTGGAGAAGAGAAGGCTCCAGGGAGACCTTAGAGCACCTTCCAGTGCCTGAAGGGGCTCCAGGAAAGCTGGGGAGGGGTTTGGGACAAGGGCAGGGAGTGATGGGACAAGGGGGAATGGTTTCAAATGGAAAGAGGTGAGATTGAGATTAGACATTAGGAAGAAATTCTTTCCTGTGAGGGTGGTGAGACCCTGGCCCAGGTTGCCCAGAGAAGCTGTGGCTGCCCCATCCTTGCAAGTGTTCAAGGCCAGGTTGGATGGAGCTTGGAGCAACCTGGTCTGGTGGAAGGTGTCCCTGTCCACGGTAGGGGGATTGGACTAAGAGATCTTTAAGGCCACTTCCAACCCAAACCGTTCTGTGAGTCTATAATTTCGGGAATTTTTTAGCCACTGCAGTACCAGACATAATTTGCATGACTGCATGTCTGCAACCAGTGATTAATCTGAAATATTGAGAGAACTTCCTCCTATGCCCCCAATGACAGTGAAAGGTTACTCAACCCTCCCATGGGATCTCCCAGTTTCAAGCACAAATTCATATAAAGCCTGAACAAAACACAACCACAATACCTGCTCTGACATCCACAATCCTATTTTCAACATACTCAAGTTCAAGACCTAAGCTATACCTCTGGAGGCTCCTTTCCAACCTGGTAACTCTCTTCTCAGAGCAGAACCACTCAAATCCCTTACCCTAATAGAGCAATTTTATTTTAAAATGTAAAATTCATATAAAAGCATCAGAAGAATCAATAAGCTTCCACTGTAGCTGCAAAACACTTCTTCCCATAACTTGTGGCAGTTTATTTGGTGAACACTGGAGCACAGTGTGCAGTCCACAGCATGCAGCATTGAGAAAACTACAGGAAGCAATCCTACAGATGCAAAAAACCAATCCCTTCCATAGGAAGCAGTAGGCACAGACATACAAGAGCAATACACGGACTGAAGGTCTTGCCCACCAGCATAAGTATAGGGAAGGTTATCCAAGCAACAACCGGAGCTTTAATTTAAGCTACATAACCATGAGCAAAGAAAATACCAGCAGTAAAGTTCCTGCTACCATCCTCTTTGATCAAGTACAGAAGCAAAAGAGCTTTAACCATCTCTTTTTACTTAACCAGGAACCCTCTGAGACATTCATCCAGAAAAAGGCTCCCTGAAGACAGCATCAAATCCAGTTCATACTAACACCATCACTACATTAGTGCATTTGTTTGTACACCTTTACAAAGCAGCATCTTGGGCAGAGAAGGGTCATATAGCACTAATCCAGTGAGGTGAACAGGCCTACCACTAAGATATACACACAGTGGGAAGAAGAGAGGGGGTTTATACCTTGGAATCCAAAACTTTTTGGCAGGTCCTGAGCAAGTTAACATCTGCTCTGTGGGCCTGAAACATCTTGTGCTCACATTTTAGCGAACAGCCCCTAACCAAGGGGTTTCTACATGCTGAAAAAATAGAGACACTTGAAAAATAACTAAATCATATCCAAGCACAGCAAAATTACTACAATGCCTCAAATTTCTAAACTAATCTACATATTTCCACAGAAATTTTGGAAAGGAGGAAAAGCCAAATGAGCAGCAGTTTTTAGAAAAACAGTTTATTTACTTTCCCTTCTCCTGACCAGCACAGAATCCCTTATTCTGATATTTCTTCTTCAAAGAAATACAATTTGGTATTTGCCCTGCTTATATTTATCTCCTATCAGTCAGAGCAAGGCCTGCCTCTGTAGAAGACAAACCTCATGTTGGTATCAGAACTCTAAAAACAGAGCTTGGAATCAGCTAAAACAAACACAAAAAGAGCTCAGACACATCAAGCCCAACACTTGAGTATCCCCATCACCTTCGGGAGACCAAACCTGCTTAGAACAATACTTGGGATATTTTCCTAACATTCATTTTAAACATTTACCTCTTGCTCCCATTTATGACCATGGTTCTATGCATCTTTTTAAAAACTGAACACAACCCTTCATCCTTGTATTAGTTTACCCAAGCTGCTAAATTTATTATTGTTGCTTATTAACACTCTACCTTCCCAACTCAATCAATCCTTCTAGCCTCAGTTATTTCACTGCTCTTCTCTGCATTAAATCCAGTTTGCTAACATCTTCGTCCTATTAATGGGATTCTAAGTCCGATCTTGCCACAAGTTTATCAATTTCTTTTTAGTCAAAAATCTACCTTGGCATTACTGCTACTCCTATATCCTCTTCCCAACTGTCGTAGTTTGGGTCCAACACAACAACAAAGAACTGGCCTGTGGCTGCTCACTCAACTCCTGCCCCCGCCCCACACACACACACACACTGGGATGAGGAGGACAAAGCTCCTGGGTTGAGACAAAGGACAAGGAGGGTTCTTCACCGATTAAGGTACTGGGCAAAACAGACTCAACTTGGGGAAAAAAATAAGAATGTAATGTCACACTAATCAAACACACACAGGACACAGACACACACAGAGCAGGGCTCACACACGTTACCCCACCCCTCCCTTCTTCCCAGGCCCAAATCCCTTTGTTCCCGGTTTCTCTCCCTCCTTCCCCCCAGCAGCACAGGGGGATGGGGATGGGATTTAGAGTCAGTTCACAGGCTGGTGGTTCCTGCTGCTCCTTCCTCCTCAGGAAGAAGGATTCCTTACAGTCCTTCCTTACTTCCCCACAGGGTCCCTCCTATGGGAAAG